CCCCTGGTTAACATTGTAGATTGTACCTGAAAATGACATTAATTTAACTCTGTGTCATCCATCAATACAACTGTGTCATCGGATTAACTTCAGAGAGGGCAGGAGGTTAAGAAGCTGAGAGGAAGCAAAAGGAAAAAGAGAAAATTCTGTGGAATTGACAGAGGCTGTTGACTAGAGGCTTGGACCTGAACATCACAGTAATAGACATGAGGCCCAGTGATGATTACCCCGGCTGTGACCCCAAATTAGGAGCAACACCAACCAGAACCTGACCTGAGAGTCTCCTGGCAGTTATGACCAAAAAACCCTAATTATCCGGGCTGGGGTGATAGCTCGGCGGTAGAGTGCTTTCCTAGCACATGTGAGGCCCTGGGTTTGATCCTCAGCACCACATACAAATGAATAAATAGAATAAAGGTATTAAAAATTCCTTCCTTTAAAAAAACCCCTAATTGTCCATTCAATGTACTTATCAGTCACTTCCATTGGTTTGGAAATTTTTGAGGCTACTCTTGACCATGCATAATAAAGAACTTTCTTTGGCAATGTTCTTATCTACCTAGGTAGCATGACAGGGATATCCACTGAGATCAACAATCAGGCAACACTTCCTCCTATCCTGTCCTTGTCAAGATGAACATGGTTGAGGACAGTGGTCTTCAATTCAAATTCTGGGCATACCTATGATAAAGGACATCTATTGTTTGCCAGCTACAAGAGAGAGAAGAAAATTTACTTGGAAAGACATCCTAAGATGCAAGGTGACTTATTTGGCACTTATGACTTCAGTGAGAACTGAAATGCAGTCCAAGATCCTATAAAAAATGGCAAAAACAATAACATAGACTGAACCTGTATTTAAGCCTCTCTACTCAGCCTCCCATTTGGACTTCTGTCTTCTGGATGCAAGATAATCTACTGATCTCCCTTCAATTTTCATGACCTGCCTCCCCACACCTTTCTTTTTCTTTTTCTTCTCCAGCTTCAACATATAAGAGAAAACACATACCCCTTGACCTTCTGATTTTGGCTTATTTCCCTTAACATAATGTTCTCAAGTTCTATCCATTTTCCTGTAAACGATATAATTTCATTTTTCTTTATGGCTGAGTTAAACTCCATTATGTAAATATACTACATTTTCTTTATCCATTCATCCATTGATGAACACCTATGCTGCTTTCATAGCTGATTTCCATAGACCTCTAAGGTCAGGAACCACAAATGTATCAGGAATCATAAGAAGCTACCAGAGAATTGCTGTGCTGAAGAGTCTTAGAAGGGGCAGAAGACTAGGGTTATTTTTGTGTAGTTAGTTGGAATTTTGTTTGTATAGTAAGGATATTTTTTGCATGCAATTGTGTTTTCATCTTGGGAAGCCTGGGGATCTATGGAGATTATGGCAGGTGACACAAGCCTCTTCTGGAAATGTCAATACGACTCACATACACAGTCATGCTCAGAATCCCTGGAAAGAGATGGGGGGGGGAACCAAGGAAATTCCTTTAAAAGGCAAAAAAGGTCCAAAAACCCCAAAAAAAAAAAAAAAACCAACACTTAACCATCCACTGGGTTGTAGACTTTCAATTGGAGAAAAGACAACCTCTTTAACAAACAGTGCTGAGAAAACTGGATATCCATTTGTAGAAAAATGAGACTAGATTCATATCTCTCATCCTGCACAAAAATCAACCCTAAAGCCAGGCATGGTGGTACATACCTGTAATCCCAGTGGCTCAGGAGGCTTGCAGGTTCAAAGCCAGCCTCAACAACTTAGCAAGTCTGTAAGCAACCTAGTGAGGTCCTGTCTCAAAATAAAAAATAAAGGGCTGGGGATGTGGCTCAGTAGTTAAGTGCCCTTGGGTTAAATCCTGGTACCAAAAATAAATAAATAAATAAACTGAAGTGGATCAAAGACATAGGAATAAGACAAGAAGCTATGCAAGACCTGGAAGGAAACATAGGGTTGACACTCTAGCATATAGGCACAAGCAATAACCTTCTTAATAGGACCCCTATAGAGTAATTCTGGAGAGGATGTGGGGGAAAAGGAACACTTTTACACTGTTAATGGGATTGTAAAATAGTATAACTACCATGAAAATCAGTATGGAGTGTCCTTAAATGACTAGGTATGGAAACACCAAATGACCCAGCTATACCACTCCTTGGTATTTATACTGAAAAATCCAAGTGATCATGCTACAGTGATCCATTGCATAACCATGTTTATGGCAGCACAATTCAAAGAAGCCCAACTATGGAATCAGCTTAGGTGTCCATCAATGGATGAATGGATAAAGAAAATGTGGTAAATATACACAATGGAGTTTAACTCAGCCTTAAAAAAAATGAAATCATGTCGTTTGCAGGAAAATGGACAGAACTTGAGATCATTATATTAAGGGAAATAAGCCAAAGTCAGAAGGTCAAGGGTCATGTGTTTTCTTTCGTACTTGAAGCTAGAGAGGAAAAAGAAAAGAAAGGTGTGTGTGCCGGGGGCAGGTCATGAAAATTGAAGGGACATCAGTAGAGTGGAGGAAAAGGCCAGCGGGTAGAAGGAGGGAGGGGGAAGTGCTTGGAAGTAATATTGACCAAATTATATTGTTATATTGTGTGCATGGAGGAATATGTAACAACAAATCCCACCATTATGTGCAACTACAATACACCAATAAGAAAGAAAAAAGAAAATGCTATAGAATCAAAGCATACTAATAAAGGAATTACAAATTTTAAAATGAAGAAAAAAAGGGACTTTCAGAGTGCAACAAACCTAACCATGTCCCTTACTAGTATTGCCCACTGTACAAGTTCAATGCATATTAACCACATTATTATTATTGGTGGAGAAAATACAAGTCAAGAAAAAGGCACAGTGGACTTAGTTAACTGATATTTATTTTAGAAGTTGCAATAGAACCTTCAAATACTTGAAAGACAGTGATGTAATTATCTGTAGCAGGTGTTATTTTTCAGACCACAGGTGGTGTTTGGTGAGCAGGTTGATGTGACCTGTTGCAATAATTGCTTTGCAAGGTCATTGGTCTGTAGTGCTGGTTCCTCATGATTGAATCTTATAGATGTGGGTTCAAATTCTGGCTCTACCATATACTAACTGTGCCATCTTTGAAAAGATGCTTAACTTACTGAGTCTCAACTCTAAAATAACAATACCTACCTCACAGGGATATTGAACGATTGAATAATGTAATGTGCACAGGATTCTGGTATTTGAGGGGTTTCAAATAAATATTCATTTGTTTTCTTATAGTTTGGAAAACAGTTGATTAAGTTGCAGAGGATCTGGCTATTAAGACACTCATTTCTAGAAGTACCCAGTCTAAAAGCATGAAAAAAAGAAAAAGTAAGCTTAACATTCAATAGTACTTTAAATTTTGTTTTTGTTTTGAGATGGGATCTTGCTATGTTGCCCAGGCTGGTATGGAACTTCTGATTCTTCCGTCTCAACTTCCTGAGTGCTGGGACCAGTTGTAAGCCATCGTCCGGCTTTAAATGTTTTATTAATCCTTATTCTTCGGGAGCACCTGGGAACAACTTCAGCCTCCACCTATTTTTACCTAACTTTCAATTCTGTGTCTATTCCTTCTTCCTCTTTTCTTGAAATATCTCATTGCACTTAGCCTAGAAGCCTCAGATAAGGATCCAGCTCACCCTGCACTGGAGCAGGCCACGATATCAGTGTGACATGTGATGTGCCACTGTCACCAGTAATAATCTATGTGTTTCTAAAGGCTGCCTCCAGGAAACCAGATGCATGCAAAACCCCTTACCAAAGAGCAAGCCCTGAATCCAAGGTTGACAGTGGCAGTAGAGTAGGCCCCCTTCACGTCATTTTCCTGAGAGGATCAATCACTGGCTCAGAATACCTTTGTCCCCTTCCCTGAATGCTAAGCTCAAGGCTGCTTGAAGGAGCTGTTCCCTAAGCAGGAAGGTGTGCAGAAATAAACATCGTGAGATAATGCCAAAGTCAGTCTCAAAATGGTGTCATCTACTAGGAGCTGATTCATGGCCAGGGAGGTGGAAAATCGTTTGACTCAGGGCTGTTGTCTTCCCATCTTCTGGTGAGTGGATGGAAGAATTATATGGAGCTAGAAACTTTTCACTCTTTCAGAAGAATCCAGTCCAAACTACTTCCCCCTCTCTGGGAAATGGGCTTTGCCTGCATTAAGAATGCCCCTTCCATTTCCTGTTCCTGGGGCTGCCTGATGAGCTTCATCTCTTCTTTGAGGCATAAGCATGAAGAAAGATATCCTATTCTTGGATTAGGGGTACAGCTCAGTGGTAGAATGTTTGCCTAGCCTGTGTGAGGCCTGGGTTTCATCCCCAGTACTGAAAACAAAAAGAAAGATATTCTATTCTTGAAAATATTTTCATCTCTGGCCAAATCTTTTTGTCCCACTTCCTTAGAAAGTTTAGGCAACAATCACCACACTGCTATTCAGTGGTTTGGTATTGCTTGCTCTTCCAGAGCAGGTGACCTTCTCATACCTGTTGGATAGAGGTGGACCTTGGTGCCAGGACCTAAGTTCACCTATCACAATCATGTGACATGGTGGGATGATATCATGATATTGGAATGGGGAACTCAACCAACCACCAATCAAGCAATGAGAGTGGCTGGTATTTCCTGTTTATTTATCTTTTTTAGGCTAAGTATTTGCTTCTTAGTCTCAAATTTAAAAGCACAATTTATCTAGTACAATTTTAGATATCCAGAAACAATACACCAAATAGATGCCTCCACTACAGTCTAGGGCTTCATTAGATTAATTAATTAATAGTGGTTAATAAGTACTTTGAAGTTCTTTTATTAAAGGGGGCCACCTAAACCCAAAGTACTATTATGATCAGGCTTAATTAGGCCAATGGTTTAAAGAGAGAGTCTTAAACCACATATAAAGCTTCTCTACCAACCCTTGGTACAGAGAAGGTAAGAAGAGGCAGGTGAGTCTTCATGCTGTGTTTAAAAGTTTCCTTCCCAGTGGAGCCACACTGAGGTCTGCTCAGCTGAAGCCAGAGGCACAGTGAACTACTGACTAATGGATTCTCCAATTGTTAAACCTGTGTTATAGGACAAAGAGCATTGCTCCACAAAATCTTGACCTACTTGTTGCTGCTACCAAAGACCTTCTCAAAGAGAGGGAGGTTTTCTCTTGGAGGTTGCAAACCAGGTAAAGCTGGCTTTCTCTTATCTTGTAAAACTTGCCTTTTGAATGAAATCAAGAAAAGGGACTATTTGTGAAAAATCAGCACAACAACTTTCTTTTAAGTGTGTGAGGGGTGATGTAGAAGATGTGTATAGGCTTTTATCCATATGAAACTGGATTCAAATTAACTAGGAAAGAGTATAAACCAATGAACCATCTACTGAGGCTGTCAGAATGCTATCTTGGAAATGGAAAATGGATATTGAATTAGAAATGACTCCAGGCTCTTTTTTTTTTTTAAATCAGAGCAACTGCTTTTAAGACATCTTTACATTTTAAAACTAATCAGTTTCTATTTCAAATCAGAACAGGTCCTGGAGGATAAGAGTCACCAACATGCTACCCTCTGTTGTGTTTTTGGGACTTACAGTCCTCATTGGTAAGTCATGGATTGACATTTATCTTGGTTTGCATGGTGTCCATGAAAACCTCAAATATAGTCATAAACCAGAAAGAGCAATGCTTACATATAATAGTAGAGTGAGCTCACCTGGCCTCCTTGGCCATCAATCAGATGCTTGTTTCCATAATTGGGAGTGTATTTTTCTTGCCAAGCAGGTGAAGAAAGTATCAGTAGGAATTTAAAATTTAAGTATTGATCAATCTACTTACTTCCTGCCTGATGGTGCACCTACTAGGCTTGAAATCTTATTAGCTGAACAGTGCCTTTGAAGGCAAGATTATATGAAGGGAAAATTATCAATGCCAGGCAATGGAGAGAGAGAGAGAGAGAGAGAGAGAGAAAGAAAGAAAGAAAGAAATCCACCATCTGAGAGGAAATTGGGAGGAAGGACCCTTACCCAACTAGGAAGTTCAGATCTGAAAGGCAAGTTCCAGAGAGGGCATGGCAGTTGAAGCAGGCTTGGTGGTTTAATGTTAAAGGAAGAGCCTTCTGGATGGGAGTTCAGTAAAGGGCAGAGGAAGAAATGCATAAAAACTGTTAGGCATACAGTAAGCGGTCAGTGTGATCAAAACAGGGGATGTTTCTTGGGGGAAAGCTAGAAGGTAGGCTGATGAGATGGTAAGCGTCCTTGAATGAGAAAAGATCAAAACTTTAGCCTCAGAAAAATAAAGATCCATTGTAAGCAATGAACAAGTTAACTTTATTTAAAGACTAATGATTAAGAAGAAAGCATTTCTAAAATGTTTAATTATAAATTTGGAAAGGGAGGACTACCCCAACACAATAATTTCCAGTTACTGATGATCAAAAATGGGCAGCATAGTTTTATATTTTTATTCATTTCTAATTGCCAGGAGGGAGCAAAGTTAAAAAGCCAATGGATTAATTATGAACTACCATATTATCTGGATACAACTGAAAAGTGATTCTAATTTTAAAAGTGCCTTTTTAAAATGTCAGCACAAATAGTATAGCATTCATGGTCATATTCCAATTCTCTTAATGCAGTGGTTCTCAAGCTTTATGCATAAAAGGTAAATGGGAATCTGGTTAAATTATAGATTCTTTGGCCTCAAACTTAAAGATTCTGGCTCGGTTAATCTGGTACAAGGAGCCCATTTTGTTATAGTGTCAGAAAGCTGACTAATACATTCCCAATATCCTCACAGTCTCATAGAAAGAACTTGTCAAACTTTTGGTTTCTTGACAATCAAAGAGCTTAAAATGCCACCTTAGTTATATTTTAATATGGCTCTCTCTTTGTTTGAATGTGATTGAGGAACTTTTTTAAAAATACTTTTTGTCAATGGATTTTATGTATTCATATGTGATGCTGAGATTCAAACCCAGTGTCTCACACATGCTAGGCAAGTGCTCTACCACTGAGCTACAACCCCAGCCTGATTAAGCATCTTTTTATGTTTAAGGACTGTTTTCAATTTTTGCCTATGAAATTTCTATATCTGCTGCTGATAATGTGATATTTAAACAGAGATCTAAAGATAGTCAGGCAGCAAATCATGTTGATACCTGGAGGAACAGCATTCTAGGCCAAAGGAAATTCCAGTGCAAGGGCTCCAGGCAGAAACCTGCCTTGTGTGTTGAAGGATAAGCACAGAGAAGAATGTGAGTGAGGAAAGGGAAGGAGAAGTTGGAAAAGGAGTAGAGGGTCAGATCAGGTGGAGCGTGGAGGACACAATGAAGACTTGGCCATTCCTCTGAGGGACAACTGAGAGATCCAATACATGTCCCCAGGATCACCTGGCGCCTGGGTGGAGAACTGTTAGCCAGAGTAGAGCAGGGAGGTAGGTCAGGATGCTGTTAGAAAAATCCTGATGGGCAATGATGCTGGTTTGGACCATGGTGGTAGCAGAGGGGGAAAGAGGATAGATGTTTTCCATCTACAGTCTTACTTCCCAACTGCACACCTAAATTTTACATATGGTCTCTGTTTTGGGAATATGTCATTCATTAGCTCAAATATGTCCCTCTGTATCTGGGGGAGCTGGTTCTGGGACTCCTACGGAGTACCAAAATCTGAGGATGCTCAAGACCCTAATATAAAACAGTATAGTATTTGCATAGAACCTATGAACATTCTCCCTTGAACTTTAAACCATTTCTAAATGACTTATATCTAATGAAATGCAAATACCATGAAGTAGTTATATGGTATCAGGGTTTTTACATTTTTTATTTTACTTATTTATTTGTTTGGGCAGTACTTGGGATTGAACTCAAGGCCTGAGTGCTCTACCGCTGAGTTACTTTTCCAGTCCTATTTCTGTGTTATTTGGGAAATAATGACGATAAAATTTTAAATGTACAGTACAGGTGCAATTTTTTCCCACAGCTGGATGAATCCCCAGATGCAGGGCCTGGGGATGAAGCAGCAGCTGTGTCTCCAATGTGCACTGTGAGCACCAGGCACTGCACCGGAGGCCTTGGAGGGGCCAATCTGACATCCTCTCCTCTGTGGATCACATGGAAATTCACACTTCTTAGAGAGTGTAGTGGCTTTGCTGTTCCTACCACTTTTATTATCTGGATAGACTTCCTCAGTATCCTAAGATTATTTGAGAATTTTGTCATCTAACTTTCTGGTCTATTCCCACTTCCTTGTTTGCCTGATGATGGATGGCAGTGAGCTGTACCTGTATTTTCATTTGTTTTGGTTGAGTTTTGCTTTTGCATGCTTTTAAAAAGTTCATCTTTATAGTTACTCTGTTTTCCTTATAAAATAAATATTACAACAGTTCTACTCATTATATGCTTAATTCTAAAAAAGTATACAATTTCTTTATATCGTTATGTTAATCAGAATTGTACCTGTGGTATGTGGGTCAAATCCATCTCTCTATTAAAAACACTGTTGATAATCCTAACTTGGGAGGCTGAGGCAGGAGGATTGAAAGTTCAAGGCCAGCATGGGCAATTTAGTGAGACCCTGTCTCAAAATAAAAATTAAAAAATGATTGAGGATGTAGCTCAGTGATAAAGTGCCCCTGGGTTCTATCCCCAGTACTATAAGCGAAACAACCCAACAACAACAAAAATTGTTTGTATCATTAAGTGATACAACATATATTTTTTTCCCTGAAGTGCTGGAGATAAAATCCAGGACCTCACACATGCTAGGCAAGTGCTTTACCACTGAGCTACACTCCTAGCCCCAATATAGTGTCTTATATCAAATATTTTAATGAAGTAGATTCTTATAGCAGAGAATTATAATCTTAAATTACAAAGCAACAATTTTTGGAACTATGAGAACGAACTTTTCAATATTTCAGAAAATATCTCTTTTAGTAAATAGACCTGAATGAAACCATTCATGCCATAATAACAGAGTAAAAAAAATAAGAATTAGTTTATTTGGTAAGTTACATTTTTATTTCTAATTCTTTTAAATAGATTCAGAACCTCATCTTCATACCAGTAAGACACAAAATATGTTAACTTGTTATAGTATCCTTCTTTCTTATTTTTGTAAACAAAAGAAAATTGTTCATTGAAATGTTTACATCCTCATAAATACTGTCAAAAGTGTTTAAAAATATTCCCCAAAGTTCCTGCTTGAAACTCTCATAGTTGCCTGGGGGTGTAGCTCAGTGGTAAAGAGCATGCTTAGCACATGGGAAGCCTGGATTTGATCTCCAGCACAGGAAAATAAAATTGGTGGCTATTTTAATCTGGTCAAGCTGCAATAAATATATTTGAGACCCATACAATTTAATTTTCATAATACTTTGTGTGGTGTTTTAGAACTAAAGTACTGTAGTTAAAAACAGAGTCAAAAGGTTGGAGCAGAGTGGGAAGAGGGCACTTCTGTTTTGACTGATGTGTTGAAAATGATAAACAGGACTTGAGGACTAAGTCTATGGCCTTTGGTTTAGCAGGAATTTGTGTTTTAATAGCAGCTCAAGCAACACCTTCTCACAGGTTTTTCATGCATTATCATTTTCCCCCCAGGCACTTCCAGGGGTTCCTACCCGTTCACTCATTCCATGGACAGTCACCTGCATCCTCGCCTGTACCACGGCTGCTATGGGGACATTATGACCATGGAGGCTTCCGGGGCCCCCTGTGACATAGACAATTTGATTAACTGCGGTAAGCGAATGACAAAGCAAGCATTTGGCCTTCTCCCTTTCATCATTTCCAGATTCCTTCTGGAAGTTAACTTAATTTCTAAAAGGTGTCATCGTCATTATAACAATCATATCAAAATATTTAAAGTTAAATAAGAATAGACTCCCGCCCAACCTAACAAACCTTTTCTACCCCACCACCCGACCTTTTCCAATCTTGTCCAGATGTGTGTATTTCTACATGTTGAGACTACTCCTTAAATTACACATTAGTTTTTCTGGCCTCATTTTCTTGTTAGGCTTACTTCACTTAAGCACATGAAGAATAAAGGTTTTTTGGTTTTGTTTGTTTGGTTTTTTTTGGGGGGTTGCTTTTTTTAAAGGTCTTGCTGTATTGTCCAGGCTGGCCTTGAACTCCTGGGCTCAGGAGATTCTCCTGCCTGAACCTTGAAAGTAGCTGGGACTAGGGCCCATGACTGCACCCAGCTTAGAATGAGCATTTTGAAGCAAGTCTCTTGCTCTTTGTACTTCCTTCCCTTTGTAATCCTGTTTCAAATCTCCCTTGTGATGTTATCCCAGTATTAGAGGTTCAGAGATGGAAGGAACTACAAGGTGGCATGGAATCCCTCATCTTTAATTTATAGATCTCAGTGCTAAGGTCCGAAGGGAGGAGGGACTTCCCCTAGCACACACTAGGTGGTGGAATAGCTGAACAAGATTCAGTCTAGACTGGCCAACTGCTAGACCAGGCATCTTCTCAAGGCACCCACATGGCTGAAAGGAGAAAGAGAAACAGCAGAAGTGGCCCCATCAGGGGCTGTGGACATGTCAGGGTTTCTGCCGTCCGGTGTCAAAAGGACATCATAGAAATGGTTGTCCCCAGCTGTGGGCAGCACAGGGGCTGTGGCTAAATTAGTATGCATTGGGAACAGTCTGCTTCTGAAGCAAACACTTTCTTTTCTATTGGTTTAGGGATCCGTGGCTCTGAAATGTTTGCTGAGATGGACTTGAAGGCCATAAAGCCTTATCAGACGCTGATCAAGGAAGTGGGGCAGAGGTACTGCATTGACCCTGCTATCATTGCAGCCATCATCTCCCGAGAAAGCCATGGTGGCACTGTTCTTCAAAAAGGCTGGGACCACCGGGGACTTAAATTTGGCCTGATGCAGGTATTTATTTATTTATTTATTTTTATAAATTATGCAATCTGCTCATTTTTATTCAAATGAATGAATCTTAAATTTTAAGGGCTTCCTAACATTTCTTAGAATGAATGGAGAATTCTTTTTTTTTATTGGTTGTTCACAACATTACAAAGCTCTTGACATATCATATTTCATACATTAGAATCAAGTGGGTTATGAACTCCCAATTTTACCCCAAATGCAGATTGCAGAATCACGTCGGTTACACATCCACAATTTCTGATGCAGGTATTTAGCTAGAGACTTTCCACCAGCCACTTGGTCCTTCCTTGCAGAAGCTCAACCCAACTGAAATCCCTTTGCATGCTTCTGGGACCCCAGGCTCTGCAGTGTTTCTCCACAAGTGCTTCAGCATGGCTTGCTCTGACTTTCTGTAACACATCTTTGGTATTTCATCCAAGGGTTATTACCAGTTATTCAATATTTTCTTGAATAAGAAAATTAATTCAATAGTATTTTATATGTGTCATAACTACAATTCCGCAGTAAATAATATACAATCTACTTCAATAGTGAAAGGGCACTCATTATTACAGGTGTCTTCTTGGAATTCTTAAATTTTTAAATTTCATCCATGAAAATAAAAACACTATATAATTACCTGAACCAACATTTTCCTCCAGGTAAATTGGAGGAAGGGGATTCAAATTATCAGCCTATTTGAGTTTAGACTGTATTTTATTTATTTTTCCCTCATGATATTGGGGTTTGAAACCAGGATCTCATGCATGCTAGTCAAACTCTCTACAACTGAGCTATATCCTCAGTCCTTTGGCTCTTAATGAATGATTGAATTAACTACTGAATTAATTTTGCAGCCCTGGGAATTAATTTGTAGCCCCAGGGCTGCAAAATTAATTCAGTAGTTAATTAACCTCAAGGTACTCTACCACTAAGCTACATTTCCAGTCCTTTTTATGTTTTTATTTTGAGACAGAATCTTGCTACGTTGCTTAGGACCTCACTAAGTTGCTGAGGCCTCAAACTTGCAATTCTCCTGCCTCAGCCTCCCAAGTCACTGGAATCACAGGTGTATATCATGGGCCTGGCCTTTCAGGCTCTGTTTTAAATTGTTTGTAGAAACACAGATTTCTAGACTTCCCAGTTAGAAAGAAATTTTTATTTGAATTAGATGGATTTTTTTTTTAACTACAAATGTCTAGACTTTGGGTGCCAATCTTTTTTGTTGTTGTTTTAACATCTTTTTGTCCCCCTTCTCCTCTCTTTGTTTATCAGAGTGCCTAGCTAACACTGTGCGTGTCTGCTTCTCCCAAATCTTTATTTTTCTGACTCTTTTCCTTATGAAAGATAGTACAGTAGAATTGACTTTGGGGGGAAAGATGTCACAGGAAAGATGTCAAGGCCAGAATCTATGAATTTTAACACACGGAAGAGAAATTAGGATCAGCAGAATATTGTATTTCCTTGACCAAATACTGATATTCTTACCTGAATTTTCTAGCTCGATAAACAAACCCACCACCCTGTTGGTTCCTGGGACAGCAAAGAGCACCTTTTGCAAGGCGCTGGTATTCTAACAGATAGAATTAAAGCCATCCAGAGAAAATTCCCTAAGTGGAGTGCTGCTCAACACCTGCAAGGTAGGCAATATTTTTTGTGCTTTGTTGAAATGAGCAGTGGATGAGACTATGAGATGCCAGATGGGCCCTGAACCTCCCTAAGAGCATTCCCACTGGGTCAGCAGCGGGCTGGGAGGAGCTGTGGAAGAAATGCAGCACATTCTCTAAACCATGAGTGGTCCACCTTCACCAATTTCCTTTATCCTTCTTCAGGATATCCAGGTTCTTACTGCATCTCTTGTTTTATATTGAGCCACTGAGTGATACCTTGAGAGTTAATGCAAAAATTAACACAAAAGAATGCCTTTACCTTCTTTTCCTTGGCTTTCTCCCGATGCAAGAAGTTATTAATCATTTTCTAAATTGCTTGAATAAACTGACTCTGAGCATTCTGAGGCTTCAGGTACCCTGATAAATCCACCCAGTCATCTCGGGCATGGCTCAACAAAGGCCCACCTTGAGTATAGCATCTCGCAGATGGACTTCACTACTCACCTATTTCTTCTGCATTTTCTGTGACTTTGGAGATACCATAATACAGCCAGACATCTCAGCTAGAAAGACAGATTGTTTTCTTAGCTCACTGGCTTCTTCTTTCTTCGCACCTGATCCACCAATTCCTGTTTTCCTCCTGCAGATGCAGAGTTATGTGTAAATCTTCTTTCTTTCTACACTTTGTCTGAATTCAGAACAATTTTCTATTTTCTCTTTCAAGGGCATTGAAAGAAGAAATCAGGATCAGGATTTTTTTCTCTTGACACCAGAGCACAGAACAATTATGTTAAGATACACAAGTAACTGTTGAAGATAAAATTCTAGGGTAAAATAGCACATGCAAGTTCATGAACCTGTACAAGAAATGAATACAGGTAACTTTCACTCAGTGTGGCACATCGAGTGTGCTCAAAAACATGTACTGAATGACTTGGGAGGCTGAGGCAGGAGGATCACAAGTTCAAGGACAGCCTCAGCAACTTATCAAGGCCCTAAGCAACTTATTGAGGCCCTGTCTCTAAATAAAAAATATAAAGGGCTGGGGATGTGGCTCAGTGATTAAGTGCCTGTGGGTTCAATCCCCAGTACCAAAACAAACAAACAAACAAACAAACATGTGCTGAATGAATGAATGAGTAGGTGAACATATGAGTGAATTATTGAATAAATGAGAGATTGTTACAGTCTCAGACAGAAGATTTGCAGGCATCTATTTCTGCCAGCTCAGGACTACATAAAACTCAAATCTGACTCTCATAGGAAGAAAAACAACAATCAGAGAGAGAGAGAGAGAGAGAGAGAGAGAGAGAGAGAGAGAGAGATAAGATGGAATCTTCTTAGTGATTCTCAGGGTAGCATATCCTTTCAGGAAGAGAGGAAGGGAAGCAAGCATTGGGAATACAGGCTTTGGAAGATTTGCCTGGAGGGCTGGGATGTCCTGGGAATGCTTGCATCTTATTTCTATTACAGTTAATATGGAGTCTAAACCTCTCTCTTTCATTTCAGGTGGTCTCTCTGCCTTTAAGTCAGGAATCGAAACCATTGTCACCCCTGCAGACATAGACACTGACCTCGTCAATGATCTTCTTGTCCGAGCTAAATTCTATAGAAGACATGGCTTCTAGGCAAAGCCCTATAAATGAACCATGTTGCTTGGGTATCAAATGCTCCCTCTTTAAGTTTGATATGAATGTGTTGTACTTCACCCTGACACAACATGGTTGAAATTATGAAAGAAAATTTATTTCTGAATTTCTTAATGAAAGTAAGGATTAAAAGAAGAAAAATGAGAGGGTTGGAGATGTAGTTCAGTGATAGAGCCCTTGCCTAATATACACAAGGCTCTGGATTCAACCCCAGTGCCACAAGCACACACACAAATAATAAGTAAAGACAAAAGAAAATTACCCAGTTCACAATATAGCTCCCATGAAATGTACATAGACATACACACAATTGCTTTACAGCCAACATGAATATTATGGCATTGACATCTACACATTCTAACAAGACTTCATTTTAGCCCATGACTTCAATACCCACCTGTACTCCATCTACCAGAATTACTAACAGGAAGTTAAGTGAGCCTGACCTGAGCCTTTGTCTTTTTCTTGACATCTTCCCAAATTGCAAGGTCTTTGCTCATGAGAAGCTCCTAGTTCATAAGCCAGGTAACCCACATGACAATGGAGAAGCCGGGGAGAGAATTCTAGCTCCATAAGTGGTGGAGAGCTGATGGAGGTGATGCTAACCTTCAAGCGAAGTGTGTACATCCTTCAGGCCCACACCAACTCCTGTGTTTCCTTCTCTTGTTTGCTGAAGGTCCATGGACTGGCTTCTTCTATATTCAGTCATTGTCACAAACTCTTTCTAAGGGGTCTGTTGCCTACAAAAGAAGGCTGAAGATAAAAGCATTTGACACTGGCATTAATTTGGTCCCATGGATGCAAACATAAAGCAATTTTTTATTGCTTAAAAAATTCTGAAAATTTTTAAGCAATAAAAGGAAATTACTAGAAGGCTATCTGATGATTCCCAGAACTAAAACAGAGAGAGGGGTGGTGGGAGGAACCAGGCAACTCTGGTCCTGGAGAGCAATTGGTTAAGCATACTTTATAGGATTCCACCAGGTGAAACCACCAGCACCCTCACTGCACAGATGTACTCCAAAGACCCCCCACCCCCCGCACCATCCTTTCAGCTCTCTGCTCTGTATTCAAGGCCCCCTGTGCATGGTGTGGGGATGGGATGTGGATTCTTTCAGTTGAGCACCTGTCCTTTGGCTGCTTTGCTCTTTGGTCTTGCCCAGACTACCTATGATGGAGAGGAGACAATTCTCTAGAAGGAAACTGAATCACCTTGGTGACGTTTACTTGTGTGTCAAGAGAGGACACCATAATATATAGGAGTGTAAAGCTCACAGAGTCCATCCAGGTGGCCCCTGCTGGACTGGTAGCTCCATCTGGAGAAGTTCAATGGATAGTACTGCTTGTCCAATCTCTTTCTGAGAAAGAGTCCTACCTGAGAGCCACACAGAGAAAGCCAACTAAACCGTTCTCTGCCCAATGACCTCTTAACCTGCAGCATAACTGTCTTTGGTTAAGGATGGTTAGTTGAAGCCCAGACTACATCAGTTGTTAAATATTTTGATTCTCATCCCTGTATATGAACAATCCACAATGTTCTTCAGAAGTCTCTTTTGCTCAATAATGATTTCTTCTGGGCTTTACCCAGAAACATTCATTTCATCTAATCCCCAGCCCCTTCAATGTCACTACTACAAGTATAAAATACATTTAGACAAGATAATTTCCAAGTGATTTGAAAAACAAGAATTAGCACACTGTCGGGTATAATGGTGTATGCCTTTAATCCCAGTGGCTCACTAGGCTGAGGCAGGACGATTGTAAGTTCAAAGCCAGCCTCAGCAACTTAGCAAGATCCTAAGCAACTTATAGAAGACCTGTCTCTAAATATAAAAAGGGCTGGGGATGTGGCTCAGTGATTAAGTGCTTCTGAGTTCAAACCCCAGTATCCACCCCCCCAAAAAAAGAAATAATATACTGACTTATACCATGAACTTATTCCCCCAGTATTCTCTTTAGGACTGAGTTGCACAGACTCCATACTTGAGATGTCTTAGGTCTTAGTTGGGTTCCCCCAGAAGCAAACTGAACAAAGGTTTCAGTGCAGTAGTTTATTTTGGAGGTGCAGGGATCACAGGTATGAAGAGGCTCAGTGATCCAGTGAAGGGAAGACCAGCAATAAAACAAGCATCATTGAGTTACCGACCACGGTGGGCTCCAGGGCCCGATCCTGCAGGAAAGCCACTATTGGGGAATAGGACAAAACACACACCTCAAAAATACTCTATCCAAGGGACAGGAGCCGGAGTATAGAGACATTGGTTTCTGAGAGTCATTTGTTGAGGGTCTACCTCGTAGGATGGAATGAGGGAGGATTCTTAGCTACTGTAATCTGCTAGGAAATTTTTCTTGTATTTCCAAGAAGAGGCTGTAGTCACAGAGAAGCAAACCAAATGAGAATTCTGAGAGGTCCAGGGGTATGAGAGGGACCTGACGGCCTCTGCTTCCCAAGGGTTAGGCACTCCCCAAGGCTAAGAAGTCTCCATTCCTCCAACATGGCTTGTTTTCATCTGTGACTTAATAGCTTGGTATAAACAATACGGAAATGATTCACAAGCTTCATTTGCCTTATAATTTCCATGCCAGTATTCCACACAGTGTATAGAATGATTAGTTAGATGGGATAGAACTGTCCTAGTCTTTACCTTATACCCATCTCTAGCACATCAGCTGATTCTCAGGAATTTGCTGAGGAAAATGTCAAAGATGTCAGACTGAAATGTGGTTTTATTAAATTGTCCTTCTTGATTTTCTTTATATTTTTTGCCTTTGTCCCCTTCAGGAATAAGGGATCGTTTCATGTCTATGTCCTATGATATAAAATATTACTTCATCTAAAAATTGAAGTCATACTGAAAGATAAAGAAATGTTGTTTTATAAGTAGTTTTAGATACAAAAAAATTTTTTAAAAAATATTTCCCTATCTGGACTTACTCATGATTAACTTCTCATTCTTTCTTTCTCTTGGCCTTCCATGTCTCACATGCCTGGGACCTGTGACACCATAAGAAATATGTGAAGGCACAGTGACACATACCTGTAACCCCAGATACTCGGGAGACTGAGGCAGAAGTATTGCAAGTTTGAGGTCAGCCTAGGCAATTTAGGGAGACCCTGTCTCAAAATAAAATTTAATAAGGGCTGGGGTTGTAGCTTAGTGGTAGAGTACTTGCCTAATATGGGCCAACACACACATACACACACACACAAAAAAAAATCCCCAGTACCACAGAAAGAGAGAGTGATGGAGAAAGAGAGGGGAAGAAAAAGAAGGAAGTTAGTTTGATATTTGGTCTCTGCTGCATTGTATGTGGGAAGCGAGGGGAAAATGTCTCAGTAATGTTCTCATTGTTGATGTCTAAGGTCCCGTGCAGTATGGATACATTCCATTTTATAACATTAGGTAGGAGAAATATCCTCTAGTCAGATACAATGTCCATCCCCATGGTACCATCAGGTAAAAGAGACACAACCATTCCACATAAAGACTGTTCAAATATACCAATTCTCCCCACACATCTTTACTTAATCCCATCACCTCCTGTGTTCCTAACTGCAGCCTCCATTACAACTCTATTGGCAGGCTTAGGTTTTACAATACTGGATGGGGAAGGGTGTGCCAGGTAAACACAGTGTCTATCCTAAAATATGCAGGTAAAACACAACTCCTCTGCCCAAAGCCTTCCATATTCCCATCAACTCTTTTGTGCTCTTTCCCGGCAGGGTTTCATGGATGGGTTTTGGTTCCACAGTGCTTGGGGCTCCCATATTAAAAGAGTCCTGGGACTTCTCCTCTGCACCCCCTGACCATTTTTCCACTTCAGCACACAAGGCTTTGGATTCCCATGAGGGGCTGGGCCTAGGGACTTTAGTCCTTTTGTCAACCTACACCTTGATTAACCTGCCTAACTACTGCCCCAGAGAGCTAGTCAGGTTTCTCACTGTCAACTTTGCCTTTTAAGGTTTCTCTAAGCTGGGGTGAGTAGAGCTGCAACAGTTTGGATCTGGAATGTTCCCCGAGGGCTCATGTGCTCAAGACTTAGTCCCTGTTTGGCAGTTTGGGGAGGTGGTGGAGCCTTTAAGAGATGGAGCCTCATAGGAAGTCTTTTGTCACTGGGAGCATGCCCAAGAGGGATATTGGGACCCAGCCTCTTCATCTTCCTCTCTGTCTGTTCTGGGTGCTATGAGGTGAGCAGCTTTGCTCCATCATTATGGGCTGCCCCTCTACAGGCCCAAAAGCAATGGGCCAACTGACCACAGAAGGAAGCCTCCAGAACTGTGAGCCAAAATAAATCTTTTATCTCTGTGTTGATTTATCTCAGGTATTTGTTACAGTAAGGGAAATCTGATGAATGAAAAGCAGACTTTGTTGAGGGATCAGCTGGTGTCCTTTAGTCTCATACAACCTTTAGTATTTCTTTATTAAAACCTTTCTTTTAACCCCATCAATGTCTGTTTTTACTTATTCCATTTTTTTCATGATCATCTAAAAATTTCCACACTGCAGATGCAAATCTGGAGATGTGCCTTTTTTATTTTCCTTTGTTTCACACCTGTCAATATTTGCTTTATCTTCCTTATTTCTTAACAATTTCCACCCTGTTAAAACCTGCTCTTTTTCTAAGCACCACATAAAAATACATAAATAAAAGCATTGTGTTCATCTACAAAAAAAAAAAACCTGCCCTTTGACTCTCCTCTCATTTTTCCCCCCATTAAAAAGAGAAGTGACTTATTTATTTTCCTTTGTTTCACACCTGTCAATATTTGCTTTATCTTCCTTATTTCTTAACAATTTCCACCCTGTTAAAACCTGCCCTTTTTCTAAGCACCACATAAAAATACATAAATAAAAGCATTGTGTTCATCTAAAAAAAAAAAAAACCTGCCCTTTGACTCTCCTCTCATTTTTCCCCCCATTCTCGTCTCAATTCACCTAATCTATCTGCATTATAAGACCCCCAAAGGGAAGCTGAGATAGCAAATTCAATAAAGCTTTCCAAACTGTACTTTGGGTTTGCAGCAGCAAGGCTACATGCCCATCCATGTTTCAAGGGGTA